GTAGTAACTGTGAACAGTCGCTACATGAGGCAGTCACTAAGCAATGACTGTATGTACTTTTTGGGGGGTTTCTAATATTCAATTGTGGTTAATTCAGAATCCATCTTGAGCATGTGTTGATTACTTTTTAAATACCATGCTATGCACTAAATTACCATATAGTGCATAGCACTTAATAACACTACCATACCATACCACTACCATTTCAATAATACCTACAGGTAAATTCATTCATACAAAGCTATAAAATATATACTATGTGTATAGTGGGTTTTCATAATAATTCTTGCACTTGGGCAATCACCTGCTTATAGAAAAGAACTGGGTATTCTTTCTGAACTGATGAGCACATTTTGAATTTTGAAAACATTATAGGAGAAGAACCATGGTAGACTATGGTGGCAAAAAAAAAAAAAAAAAGTCTAGTAGCACCTTTTTCAATTAACCAACCTTATTAAAAGGTATAACTTTCATGAGCTGCAGCTTACAAAATCTTATACCTTTTAATAAAGCTTGCTACTTGGAAAAAGTGCTCCCAGACTCCTTCAGAATTTGGAAGCACATTAAAGACATGTTCATGAAATGGCTGCCAGAAGTTTGCCTATTTTCACAAGGGCTACCACGCTGGCCATAAAACATCCATTTACAGAAAGACAAATTTGTGATGTTTTTTCTTCCTGCTTGGCCATTAGGAATGTTCTCTACTGCTTCAGCTTACTTGTGTGCATACGATCCAGTCACTATGTGATGTTGGTACAGACTGAGTATATGAATGTTCGAGGAGAGATATTCTCTTTTTCTACAGCATGTGAAAGCTTACCCTCCGAGCTCTCCTTCTATTCAATTTCAATCATCTTTATCAAGATAATAATAGTTTTGAGCAATACCAGACCAACACTTGGCATCTAATTGCTTCAACTGATATTGCTAGACCAGATTTCCTGAATTTCAGTAATTGTGCTGAACAACTTCAAAACATAGGCTAACCTATATAACTTATGTTTCCTTTACGCAGGATATGAAGCTGGTCCTCTGATGTGGTAACGTACGGAATTTTTCACGTATGACTATTTCATGCACCAAGTAAAAGTAAGAGGGCAAGGTCACTTTTTATGGGCTTTATTAAACCTGTCAACAAGTAACATTGTTCAGTGAAAAGCCTCAAATAGGCAACTACTATGTAAGGATAGCAGTATGCACTCCAGTGATCATCTGCTATGTTAGATGAAAGAAGACACTAATTGGCTGACTAGACAGGAGGAGAAACATGGTGCAAGATACCGAGATAAAGCAGTAACAGCACGAACTATAGACAAATTCAGTGAGAAGCTGCTGGTACTGTGGGAGGAAAAATTATAGTCAGGCTTTGACCACACATAAATTTCAAGCGCTTTGACAAGATCTGCATTTGTAGGCTTAAATCTTAAGCACTGAGATAAAATAGATTAAAAGTGTTTTCTTTTTGACCGGAGGTCTTATCCAGTATCCAATGCAATATAAGTGTTATTTGTGCGTCTAGATCAGTGTTTTTCAACCTCCGCAACTTTAAGTTGTGTGGACTTCAGCTCCCAGAATTCCCCGAGCCAGCACTGGTCTAGATAATACTTTAAAATTAGTTCAGAAACTAATCGCAGATTAACCCACCTTGGGTGAAATCACTGCAGCAACACAGGAAAGTGTATCAGATTACTGTCAGACAGGAACTTCTGAGATAGTACCACATAACCATTACTAATCCTAACTGAAGATTAAAAGGTAAAGAATCACCCTCTGGGGGAGCTGGGCAGCATACAAATTTATTAAATCAATAAAAATAAAGACACCTCAGTGCAAGCTTGTTTGCCCCTGCTTTTTTTTTTTCAATTTAGCACTCTAAACAACAACCCTGACCTTGTCAGGCAGTCCCTCATCCAAATACTAACCAGGGCCAAGGTTAGCTCTAGTTAGCTTCCAAGATTAGCCAAGATAAACTAGGTGCTTCCATGTGCTGAACCTATCAAAAAGTAGTAGGTATCTAAAAACCAGCAGAGATTTCATGGTTCAATCGTTTTTTTAAGGTAACAGCATTCATCCAGCCAGCTCAGAAAAGACTGGTTGCCTAGAGAAATTAGAGGAATAGTTTATAACCTCTCTTCAGCTCCATAGTAGGACAGAATGCAAGTGACTTTTAGACTGCTGTATTTCAGAGGGGCACCTTGGGGCCCCAGTCAGGTATAACTGATGCATGTGACTATAGAGAGGAGCAGAATGATGCTACTTAACAACTCAAATGTGTATTATTACAACCACTCACCATAATTAAATTTACTAATAGATATAGACACATACAAGCACAACAAATTTAGGTTATAAAGATTGCTGATAAGCACATTTACCTTTTTACATGTATAACATCCTGGTAAAACTGCCAGATAAACATGTTGGAAAGAGAGAAGAAAAAAGAAATACAGGCTTGAATTAAATGTTCATTCCTGGCAAATTCTACTTATCAGAGAGAATTTGGCTATACTGGTTATTATCTTGGGTGGGAAAACATGGTACAGTAAAATCTCAATTTTTATGAATCAACTGGGGGATAGGGTATTGTGATGGAATGGAATTATGAAGGCCAGGCTCAGGAAGATAAACATTTTCTTAGCTCCCCAGAAGAGCGCGGGAGGAACAAGAGGATGAGACTGGCACCTCGCTGAGGAATTCACACTGTTGTGGCTGGCTGACTTTGGGAGCTGGGGTTTCGGTCTGGGAAGATTCTTGCTAGAGGTTGTAGCCAATAAACATAACTGGACTGAATTTGCATTGTCTCTTGGAGTTCCTTGCGCTAGGCCTGACAGGTATTTGATAAAGTTAAATACTATATCTGTCAAATCCAAATTTATCTAATTTATTTTAGGTCTTTAGCTTGCTGATATAATTATACAAATGATGTAAAACTATGCAAATCATATAAATGACATCAATTGACTAGAGTGCTTTGGAAATTATGTCCATTTAGTCAATTGACACAATCAACGTTTTATGCCATTTGCATAATTAAAAGGGGGTTCATAAAATAAAGGTTTTACTGTATATATAAAATGTGTTTGATCATCTAGGAGAAATGATAAAATACAGTATCAGACTGTTATACTGTTAGAACACAGTATGATAAAACATGGAATGGTTATTCAAGTGCTCCATCACCATAATGACATATTTTGACACAAGTAGTCTTCTTAAATCTGTTCTTGAAAATTGCTTAGGGTCCAGCAGCCAGGCTGGGCACACCTCAGCAGCAGCAGGAGCAAGAAAATGGCAACGGTCAGCTGGGTGGCAGGGGTCTCAGAGTACAGGGATGTGTGGGTGACTGCAGCTGGGCTGAGGTGGCTGTGGCTTCCAGGGAGTGGCAAGCAGCCCCAGAGCCATGCATGGTGGCCAAAAGGGCAGAGATGGGGGAGATAGACAGGTGGGGAGAGTTGGAGGAGTCTTACTCAGGCTCAGGGCTGGAAGCGACCAAGCCTGGAATGGCTTGGATTGGGGTGGATCCTCAGCTAACAACCAGCGGAATTCACTTAATGACTGCAATAGGGATTGCCAGGACTGCCATTGCTAAGTGATGAGGTCATGTGACATCTCACTTTATGACATCACTTAGCGACAGAAATTCCAGTCCCAATTGTGGTTGTAAGTTGAGGACTACTGTACATGGATATATCAGTCATCAGAAGTCAAGCTCGACTTGAAGAAACCTTTTCTTAAGCTTTGTATTTTTTTCTTTTTTGATATAAATTTTATATTCCAACTTTACATAAATTTAATGTTAGTACAAATCAACACAGCTATACAAAATCCACAAATCATAATCCAAGCATACTGGGTTGGGGAAGATTACCAAGTATGTGACAGGTCAAAATATGTTACTGAAGGGTTTTGCTCAGTTTTATAAGGCATGATTCACATATTTCATTAAACCATGCTTATTCACGATGTAATTTGTTTTGTTTTTGGCTTAACGCATTGAGAGAACCCAGTTGTACAGCAATGTAATTAAAGTAATGTAGCTAGTGAACAGATATAAATTTTTAGAAACAATTTCAAATTAATTGTTCAAAAGCAATCTTTATCACACATCTGAACAAACTTTTTCAAAGCTTTAACTTTATTATAAGTCACTCGTGAATATAAAACCACTAAAGGACAGCAGACAGAATATTTAACATGTAGTGGGAAATTAAGGTTTGTCTTTCTCTTAAGTCACAAGGAAGTTTAATGACTTTGTATCAGTCACTAATTCTCATATTAAACTACATCACAGTAGCATTCCAAGGATAAAATGAGGGGTAGGGAAGGACCTGCAAATCTGATACATGCTGCTCTAAACTGTTTAAGAAATTTAGCAATGAAAGGGTATCTATCTAAAGAGATGTCCTTTCATCATTTCTCTATTAGCATTCATCTGCTATAGGTAGAGGTAACCCTCGACTTACAACCATTCGTTCAGCGACCATATGAAATTACGACAGCACTGAAAAAAGTGACTTATGATTGGTCCTCAAATGTATGACCATTGCAGCGCCCCCGCAGTCATATGATCAAAATTTGGGTGCTTGGCAGCCTGCCTGCGCTTACAACTGCAGGAATATTTCAACTTCTCCCACCTGCCTAGCTCTCTATCTCTGCACTTTTGGCCACCGTACATCCTGCCTTTGCCATTGGGAGAAACCGTTTTCTGGCTTCCCCATGGAAGAGCCGAGGGTTGGTTCAGGGAGCCATGTGTAAGAATAATTTGCTGGAGGAACCACTTGCAAAGGAGCTTGGTTTTGCCAGCTTCCCCTTTGCGCAAAGCTGGCAAAAGCAAGCCCCTTTCCAAAGGCTCAGGGAGCCACATGTAGGAAAAGTTTGCCAGAGAAGCTGGGTCTGAAAAGGAGACAGCAAAGGCAGCAAGGTGCTTCTACTTCAGTCGCAGGAGCTGGGTGCAAAGGCGAAAGGTTGGTGCAGAGAACTGGGAGAGAAGGTAGCTGGGTAAACGAATGCTTCCTGGGATGGCAGCAGCTGCAGTTTCCTGGGTTGCTTTGCATGGCTTGGGGTGGTTGGGCTGGGACAGCTGCTGCTTCCTGGGGTGGCTTCACATGGCTGGGCTGGGGCCGCTGCAGCTATGTGTCATGCTGAGGCTCAGGGGCTTCTTGAGGAAGACACACCACATGCTTGCTTCTTGATTGAGGAAAACACATACCACCCATGGGGTGAGAAGGGATTTTTAGTTATACATACATACATACATACATGCTACATGCCCGTATTGATCATAAGACCTAGTACTCTCTCCATTAAACTGTGCTAATCTTTCTATGACCATGTCATTCTGAGTCACTCCATGTAAGTTCAAGGGCAGACAAAACTGCACTCCACAGAACTTTTAAAGGGAAGGATGCCCCAGCAAACTTTTTTTTCTTTTTACTACAAACAAGTTAAAAGGTTCAAGGCTCCATTTACGTAAATGGCTTCAAATCATTAATACAATATTAACTTTAGCTGTTGTTGTTTTTTTTAAGCTTACTTCAAGGTAGGAAAGGTTTTAGGCTTCCCACCAAAGTCCAATAATTTCCAGTGCTATGTTATCAAAGGTAGCCTAATCTTCTGTGTAATTAATATGAACTGCTTGTTCTTTATTATTCATCACTCAAACCTATAAGCTAGAATTAGGCACATCCTAAAAAATTTACAAGCTTTCTGCCTGGAATTAGAGTCTGGCAGAGTATTCACAACGCACAATGAAATCGTTCAAAAGAAACTGCCAACAGGAACTGAGGATGCACAAAAAATATTTTATGACAAATCAAATGTTTCTGTAGCAGACATCCCAAGATCGAAAGGATGCAGGAGGGCTTTTTCCCTCCAGCTAAAAGTGTGTGCAGCTACAACCATCAACCCCCTTGATCTGCAAGTGCTTACTGGCTGGCAACTCTAGTCTCATCCAGCACCAGCAAGCTGGTGGTGTAGAGCAGAAGGGGCATTAACAAGAAATAAATGCATAGAAGCACGTCTGTATATGTATGGAAAGGAAGGACATACATCTTCTAACAATATAGCAAATAAACATTAAAAGTATCCTTTTCTTTCAACATGTGGATAAGATTTTTTTTTTCCTGTTTCCGCATGTGAGAGAGAGAACTGCTAGCACAGGCCAATGGAGGATCAATTTCATAAATGTGGCACTTTATTTTACAGGAAACTAAATTTAATCAGTAGTTATTAATTCAATTAATATTCCTTTTTCTTTGCCCTGGCCCTACTCTTTTTTGAAGTATGGCTTTTGGGGAGCATAATACCCACCCCAAACTGGTTTCAACTAGAGGTGGCAACCCTAGTCTGACAATGTGGGACAATGGGGTCTGAACAATGGTTTGTTCTATCTTCACTTTTTTTTTTTTTGGCCTATCTCCTCTTCCAAAGGAAGAGGGGAAGACTAACATTCAGAACTAACTTCCTCTCAGGTAAATACAGTAGATTTGGAAACACCAGTAGATGTTGGTGACCATTTAACCCAATCGTTCTACAATGCAAGGTGCAACTGGAACAAAATCTTCAAACATTTGTGACCAGGGACACATTCGTAAGTATCAGGTGAAAACAAAAGGCAAGTACCACAATCAATAAAACAAGTAAAATGCAATGGTTGAGTTTCAGATCCAAATACAAAATGACTAATGCAAACAAAATGCTATAGATGGAAAACTGGCAATGCTCACAAAAATCTCTTAATACAATCTCAACACAAACAACACAAGAATCCCAATGCAAGCACAAACATTTAATGAACATGGCACCCCATTTATTATCCCTCTCCAATCTAACATCTACTTTAAATTTTTTAGCAAAGAAGAGTCTATAATCTCTAAAGACAGTGCATTCCA